ATATAAAGAGAAGAATAGATCAGAGATGAGACCTGAATAGATTTCCAAAATGATCTTCCAACCTTAGCATAGTGCCAAATATAACATGAATCAACATAAGATTCAAAACATCATCAAATTAAAGACCAAGAACCAGACAAAAGGACTGATCTAATATATAAGGAATATTACTTGACTCCATTTTTGAATCTTGACTCCATTTGTTTCTTACTTCAATAACCTTGGAGAACTGATCTAATATATAAGGAATATTACTTGTTCACTAGACATGTTAAGTTTGTAGCTAGTAGTGAGATCATTTTGGCCAATGTCAAATGTGTACAATGCACGATGAAAATCACTCCCTTTTGGCAACAATGATGTAAAAACTCCACATATATAGTATTATTATCAAATCGCACTAGATGCTCAGTGTTCCATGAACAACTTGGTTATACAAAGGGGTAAGAAACAATGTACGGTACAACTAGTGACCTCGTTTATGAACAAGTTGCGATCTGCGATGAAAATCAGAAAATCGAGTAAACTACACATCCACAGAGAAAGGGATAACTCCACTCGAGGAAATGATGGTGTTTTGTGGCCTGATTGTTGAACCAACAGAAGCAAAATTAGCTCCATGACTGAAGTTTATTGGAACAAACAGAATCAAAATAGGCACCGAGGTACGGGCACCGAGGTTCGGAAGTCCCAACCTTTTAACTGATAATCAATGGAAGTGGCAACTCAGAAAATATTTGAAGTGATTCATAAAATTAAATCACTAATCATCACTAAATTGAACCCAATTCTCATGTCTTTTTTTTTATTGGTCCAATTTTAATGTTTATGCTATTACACCCGTGGTACAAGACAACACACCATGGAAATAGAACAAATTAAGGAAAAAAATCAATTGAACGTTAACGTGGAAACAAACGACCGAAACATATTACAAACATAAGGAAAAACTAGTTAAATTGGACGGGCTTCACACATGTCCAATGATCGCATGACAAAGTTTTGTGGAAACTTTGACCCCTCAGCAACTTTGTTAAAGATATTTCTTCTTGCAAAAAATTAGCCTAGATATTCATTTTTTTTTCCAAGATCTCAAAACTCATGTCATGGGCAACTTCACAATGCCCGCTAGTCATCAATCACGAATCAGATTTGTTTATTACTTGAGAAAGTCGTACATTCCGTTCAATTTTTATTCTCTCCGCTAAAAAGAAAAAATTCGACTTGAGTTTTAAAATTTATATTAAAAAAAGTATAAATTTAAAAATTTAATGTGAATTATTTTTTCTGGACAAGAATTAATTATTTACTTTATTGTATCGCACTTTGATTCAACAAAATTAATTGTTGAAGTTGAGAAGCATCGAAAGAGTATAACATATATATGCGATAAATATAGCAAGAGGGAAACTTTATATATGGTAGTATCACACACACGGGACATCAGTTTGACACAAAATTAAACAATTTGTTTAAAGGAAGTGTTTGCGAAACAATTTGAGGAATCAAAATTCACTGTTTGCTAAGACAACATTTAACAAAAACTTTATGGTCACAGGAAATAAGACTAAACTGTATAAATGGTCCCCTACATTTTAAATTTTGATCCCCTACATCAACATGTTTTTGATTGAGCCTTTATATTTTATTTTGAAACTTTTTTGGTCTCTTTTCACTGTTCCGTCACCATTTCCGTCTTGATGACCGTTGACCCTACCAAGTCAGGAGTATTTTTGGAATGACACATATAAGATCAAAATAACAAATGTTTTTATAATAAAATAGAATAAAATATTAAAAATTATTATATTATAATAAAAATTAAATAATTTAAAAATTAAAATAAAAAATTAAAATGATTTCAAATTTCAAATTTCAAATTTTTTTTTACTTCCCACCTTTATGAGTCCCACATGCCAGTCAATTTCTCTCTTTTTTTTTTGCTACAGTAAAAAAAATCAAAATTAAAAAGTAAACTTACCTTCACCCGTCTTTTACCTTTACCCTTAAAAATTTTATTCTTACCAAGTCACTGCTACAGGTAGGCCTGTGACATTTTATTATACTCCCTGACACTTCCCTTCTCCTGTATTTGCAGACTTTCATTCTGAGGACCCTGCTTTAACAAATTCTGTAATGCTTCCATTCCAGTTGCTCCTTTTTTTTTTGTACTTTCTCTTCTAAATTCCCACCCTGCCTCCTATGTAACTTTTTCAACTGCTCATTCAATAATGTTTGTTTCCACCAAAGTTTATACTATTGGGTTCATTTGCACTCTTTCTTCCAAATCTGTTTCACTAAATCCTTATATTCCTCCATTTGCAACCATAGGTTTAAGAACTTAAAACAAGAGCGCCTTCTGTTTATTGTCGCTCCATTTAATGATTAAGGGAGTATGATCTGACAATCCTTCAGTCAACACTGTTGTGTAAGCTTCTCATAACTATTCAGCCACTTCTCATTGATGAGAGTTCTATCCAACTTGGACATAATTCTTGAGATGCAATCTGTTTATTTGACCAAGTGAAGGTGCCTCCAATAGTCTTGATATCCATAAGTTCACATTTCTCTATTATCATCTTGAACATACCCGAATCTGAACTAAGGTTATCACTTCCACCCAATTTATCTTCTGCTCTAATGATGCTGTTAAAATCCCCCATCAGTAGCCATGGCGTGTTGATCTTTCCTTCCTTTGCTAATGAACCATCCCATAATTCTTCCCTTCCTTTTGATTGATGATCCCCATAGACCACTATCAATTCAAAAACCTTATCACTTCCTGTTTTCTGAACTGTTGCATGTATGAATTGCTTTTGCACCTCAACATTAGTCAATTTATACATCCCTTTTTTCCATATGACCAAAATTCTCGCTTTCCGTGTAGAACTATGGTTACCAATGTATTCATAACCAATTCACTTCTTCTCCATTAATCAGCTACCTTTCCTCCATCCAACTTGGTTTCTTGTAATTCTGCCAAGCCAACATTATTCATAAAGAAAGCTTGGCCTATCTCTTTATGTTTAACAGTCCCCTCACGTTCCAAGATAACATGCTATACATGGTTACTAGGCCCTGTATTCGGGCTACTAGTTCCACTATAGCAATTTCCACCTTAATTTCCCTGTTTTCCACCATGATTATCAGTCCTCTTCCCATTATCATTACTCATCTGCCTTGGTGTTTCCAGTGCTGATGACTTCCCCCTGATTACTCCTTTTGTTCTTTGTCCTTGGACTCTTTCCTGAGCATCATTTTTCTGTTACTAGGTATAGCAGTCTTAGGCCTTTCTGGTTCTGTTGAAACTACTTCATGTTCAACAACTTCAATCTGATCTGACTTTTTTGATTCATGTTCCTTCTTTTTCCATATCTTTTCAGTTGGCTTCTTACACTACCCTGCTTCATGACCAAACCCTTTACAAGTTACACATTGGACTGGTCTCCACTCATATTTGATGGGTTATTCTTGTACTATGCCATATTCATCATCAAACCATATAGCATCCGATAATTTTTCGGCAATGTTCATCTCTACCAAAACCCTGGCATATCCAGCCCTGTTCCTTTGCATCGCCCTTTCATCCATTTCCAATGGCTTGCCTATGGTACTTGTTATCCTGCTTAACGTAACAGCCTTCCAATATTTCAGATGAAGCCTTGGAAGCTGTATCCAAACTGGCACTTTCTGAACACCGGCAACCTTAAACCATTCTTCAACAGACCATTCTCTCACAATCAAAGGTTTGCCATCAAAATGGTAAACACTTTCCTTCAGTACTTCATCTTTTTGCAGTCACTGAGTTGAAATGAATGATGTAAACACCATTATCCATCAGCAACACTTTATCAATACCAAATTTCCCCCACATCCTCCTAAGGAACCCATTCACCACATAGAATGGTAGATTAGCCCCTAATATGTAAACAGAGTAATGAGGATCTCCAGTATTCCACTACATCTTGAATTTCCTCCTTGTGGATTTTTGTTATATTCCTGTCTTTGACCTTATTTGGCTCAATGAATTCCAATTTCCTCTCAATCTTAAGTAGTTTCTTAGGATCGAAATTTCCCCAAATCTTCTTTTCTTTCTCAGGTGAGTTCCCAATTTCCAGCCTTAATTCAATAGGATTCTTACTACCCGATGACTCTCCTATATTCACTACCTTCTGATTACACAATTTCTTAAGTAATACAGTAGATTCATTAATAACTCGAGAATAAGGGCAACTCACCTTACTCATTGATTCCATCAGCTTGCTTAATTGACTTCCCGGTTCCTTTACCGGCTTTTGCTCAACCACTGTTTGCACATCTACTACAGATTCCACCGTTTTTCCTCTTTTCTTCGGTTTCCCTGCCATTGCGGGTGCGAAATTCACACCGGAGATCGAAGTTCTCACACACTGACCATGTATTTGCCCGCAGTGAAGAGAGAGAAAAAGGCGCAAAATATGTTAGTGTGATAGATGTTAGGGTCAGATTGAAACAATTATAAAATATTGAGGCAAAAATGTAGCTTTCTTTTTTTAATAATACCCAAAAAAAAATATATTTCAGATTTCGCTAGAATAGTGGCCGAATCCAGCGAATAGGACTAACTTTGAACTAAAAAAAACTTAACAGGACTAATTTTTTCAGATTAAAAATATTAGAGACGAAAATTGAATTGAAATATACTTTAGAGATTAAAAAGATCAGGTGCCTTAAAATATGTGCAGTTTAAAGTTGAAAATTACACAAGATTGTGAGCCTAACTGTTGCATTGTAGTTAAGTGAGAAGAGCACCAATTATTAAAAAAAATAACAATAAGAAAAGGCATTTATCTCGACATATATATGAAATAAATAAAATTAAGGATGTTCTTGTCATTTCATACACGGTTGGTTATTTTCCCGCCCAAAGCCTCAAAACCTCCAACTGCATTCGGGTCTAGTATAAACGGATCTGTAAAAACGAACCGGATCGTGATAATCATGATCCTCTTCCTCCTCACCGCCATTTCACTCGCTGTTTCTCACTCTAAACCTATATTTTTCCCTCTTCTCCTTATTTTCTCTCTCTAGGTCAGCCTCTATCAATCAATCGAACTTTCTGCATTCAGGTAAGAATTCTATCTCTATTTTTCTTGCTGTTTCCTGTATATCAACGTCGCTCGTTGTTGAGATGCTCTAATTGATTCGAAACGTGCTCTACTTCGTGTTTTGATTTGGAGTAAATGTTACTCAAAGTGGACAATAATTTTGGGACGGAGGGAGTAGTTTATTTTGTGCAATTCCTTCGTCTTAATGTCCGTTGTTCTTCTCTTGCGTGAATTTTGATTTGTATTTTTGGCACAATTGGCGTTAGAATTCACTCGGTGTAAGATTTGCGATTTGTAATTCCGTGAAAACCTTGACTCTTTCGAAGATAATGTGTTTGTGTTTGTGCGTGTGCGTGTGTGTGTGTGTGACCGATAAATGTTTCATTTCTAGAGTAAGAAATGAAACGAACAGAGCAACGATATTGAATTCTCCTCGGAAAATATTTCCTTTAATTTAATGTGTGTTTTCGCGAGTATCTAAAAATCGTATACATTATCAGAAAATTGAATGTTTTGAAGAAGAAAATTCATCCCTTTTTCCTCCTCTGCAGTTGAAATTGGTAAAGCTTAATTCAATGGAGGGAGAAATGTCAAAATTAGGGCAAAGAGGCGAGAGAATTCCCTTGAGTCAGAGCGATTATGATAACAGTCTCCGATCCTTGCCTTTCTCAAGTTCTCTCGGCGGCAGAGACGGAGGTCAGAACACTTCCCGGCCATCGGAGCTGCAGATGATGATGGCGGCGTCACGCTCTAATCAGCCTAACTTTCTCAGGGACCTGCACCATCGTCAAGACGCCATGGATAGCCAGCGCGACGTGCTTACTTTTCTGGAGAAGTTAGCTAAGGAAGCACAATTCCTTCGTGAAGAAAACTGCACTCTTAAGATGGCCAATTCACGATTGACTAACGAACTGGCCTTCCTGCGAGAAGCTGCTTCTCAGTATGCTCTTGGGGCTGCTGGACATTCGGGCATGGGTATAGGTCCTGACCCGGTTTATGATCTGAATTCTGTTAGGATTGCTATGGAGAGGATGGGCTTGGTTGAGGGAAGTGAAAGAGGGAGAGGGGCACACCATGACTTCCAGAGTAATCACTTTGTGGATTTGGATCCTTTTCAAGAGAAAGAGAACATTGCTCCTTATTCAGATCGAGTTACACTGCCCGAAAGTATCTCCATTGGTTCCAATGGGTCCTTGAAGACTGCTCACCCTGGTGGACGCAGTGGACTGAAAACAAATAAGGTAACTTAACCCTACCAAGAGAAGCCTTGATAGATAGATATTTAAATCATCAATATGTGATACTGCTTTTTTCAATTGTATGTGAAGGGAATGCTGAATGAAGTGTAGGGCATACTTACTGCCAATTTATCATTCTGTAGTATATAACGTACCATATTAGGGATTTTCCAGGTTGTGTATTCATCAATACTGCATTTTGTTTGATTCTTGAAATGTGTAGATCAGTGTTGCCTTTACTAAGAGTAGTTCTGTTTCATTGGGTTGAAGAAATGTCTAGACCAATTAGGCCTGTGATACTTAAGGGGATCTTTTGATCTTCGTTTAGAGTTGATGATTTTCTTTTGGTATCCAAATTATGTGAAACTGTAAAGGATTTCTTTTGTAAAGAAATTTTAGCCAGTGAAAAATAAGAATTTAGGTTCTTTAGAAGGTACATTCCTTACCTAAATGCAGATACCTGTGGACTACATTTCAAATTGTCTCTTTTAATGATGCATGATTAATAATTCTGTGGGGTCATAATTTGTGTCTCTTTATCTGCATGGTTTGTTTTAGCTGATATGTGAATAATTCTCTGTTACCGATATTGGTTCTACCAAATCAAAACTAAGAACTTAAGAGAACTTTGTTTTGAGCATGTTGCCCCTTGAGGCCAAATCTTCTGGTTTATTTATGTGTAAAGTTCTTCTAATTGTAGTTGCTTATTATGTGAATGCAGCAAAGGGTATATGTTCCAGGTGGAGAAACAGAGAAAGAATCACTTGAGCTGGACGTACACAAGGAGGGAATGCTGAAAACTGAGCTGTGCATCAACTGGCAAGAGACTGAGACATGTTCATATGGGGAAAACTGCCAATTCGCTCATGGGATCAAGGAGCGGCAACCCATAATTCACCATACACGGTACAGTGAAGTGTGCCGCATGATTATGAATGGTGTTCATTGTCCCTATGGGCACAGGTGCTACTTCCGCCATACTCTTACTGATGAAGAGGCAGTCGTGAGGTCTAGGCGGATCTTTCTGCATCAGAACTAATAGAGTAACCTTCTGAGGATGAAGTGATGACTCTTTAAAACTCGGTTTCATGTGGATAAATAAGTATGCATAGTAAACACCACCTAAGGTTCATAATCTAAGACGTTCATAACAGGCAGTATGAAACATAACTAGTCTAGTCACTAGTGGAATGGCCAAAGTAGCAGGAACACGACCATTAGAACTCATGAAGCAACGTGAGCTGCTATAGGAGCAAATCATCACCATCTCTTATACTAATAAGTACTAAGGTAATAATGTCTGTCTTTGTTTGTGATATCTTCTAATACCAGTTTAACACTGTGATGTGACAAAATGCACCTTTTGTGCTGTTAATGTAGCATTTGGAAAGCCATCTTGGCTGGTGAAGGAAGATTTTGAGATCATTATATGTAACTATGTAGGAATTTGCTTGTCATTATCACCTTTGAGCCTTTTCTGTGTTTTCTTTCTTGTAGTTCTGAGTAGTAACTTCTCTAAGAACTCGGAATTATAGTCACTGCTGACTATTTACCATGGAAGACGTTGTATTTGCAAATGTTGGTTTACCACTTATAAGGTGGTGTACTGACTTCCTAGCACAATGCTTTATACATTACTTCCAAATATGTGATTGTTTTGACCTAAATATGTCCCCTTCTTTGTACACAATGATGAAGATGGTTCTGACTATTGATATTGAGTGTTAACACTTCTTTGTAGCTGTGGTCTCGTCTCGCTATTTCTACTGTTGCGCAAATTCTAGATTTTTGAGATTAGGCTTCTTCAGATTCCCCATACTTTACCCCAAAACCAAGCATGCAAATCTTTATAAGTACTTGTTCATGATCTGATGAAAATGCAAGAAAAGAATATGAGAGAGTAAATGATGGATGTCTGCAAAAAGTTGTTGGTACTGGGGTGCTCCGGGAAGGACATTTTCGAGTCAGTTGAAATGGATTGGATGAATAAATCGGCCTTCCTGAGTACCCCACCATACCGATGATTTCTTGGTTTTCCTCCTCCCTAGATTTTTTTTACTCCCTTCTTCAATTCCAATGTATGTTTGTGCTTACATTTTCTTGGTCATATATAACTGAGCTAGTTTATGCCATTTGACGTATTGATGGTTTTTCTCTTGTTTACATTTCCTTGCTTAGTTAAAGCCTGACTGAATTTCATCGTAGAAAGGCACCAAAATCTCTGGCAAGGATCAATTCATATGAGTATTTAAAAAAAAAAAGCGTAAAAATGAATTGACTAGACATTTGATGAGTTCGAGGATATGAGTGGGAATATGAATGGTACTCCCTCCGTTCTATAATTATTGTCCAGTTTGGGTTTTCATTTTTAGTACAAATTGAACTAAAAATGAAAACTCAAAGTGGACAATAATTTTGGGACAGCGGGAGTATATGGTATCTGAAGACAACATTTTGTTTCCTACTAAATCTAGGAATAAAATTCGCATACCGTCTTTAAAAAAGCCTTTGTTTCCAGAATCCGGATATTGTGAAAATTTTCTTGTTCTTTTTCTAGTACGCAGTTGTAAAATGTGGGCCTATTAAATATGTTACTCCTAGTGTTGAAGATAATTTAAGCTGTTAACCAATCTACTTATTTATTAATCAATCACAAGGGAGCATTAGAATATTTTTGTGTGGTTATATCTTTTTCCATTTGGACAAATAAAATCCTTTGTCCAACATTTTATTGTTTGAATTATCAAACATATGTTGTGGTCATATTTTTTCCAACTGGCCGAATCGAATGGTTTTATATTACTGACTTACTGCTAATATTTTATTCTCCAAGAGTCACTATAATCTTGGAGTATTACAATGGTATTTGACTACTAAAAGAAGAACCAGGAAGCAAATTCATTATGATTAAACTGGGGAGGGTTGATAAGTTAATGTCAAGAAAGATCGAGATAATTGGTCCTAATCAACCTGAACGTTTTTGTTCTGAATTGACTTGATTCCAAATTCATTAAAACCATCTGTAAAGTATTTCACATTTCACAATTGTTTGGAATTCTTAAAAGAAAATCATCTACTAGATTGGATCATAACAAAATATCGATCAAAGATAATGTAAAAAACTTCGTGAGACTTCATTCCTTGTTGAAGACAACATTGAAAAACCAGTACGCGAGGATTAATTTATCCAAAAACGACAACACGGTTATATAATTCATACACTAATAAAGACGTCCCACGCTCTACTAATACGATTATGCACATCGTTTATCTGCATTTTTTCCAAAACATTGAAATTCAAATCCCATCTTCCTTTTTTATTTCTTAGATTTGTTCCCTAACTTATTCCATTCATAATTAAAGAAACCACAAATTCAACTACCATGGTGTGATTTGTTCTTGCGTACGTACGTATCATTTACATTTTCTACAATCATATGTAGACAAAAAAACAAAAATACTAACAAATGAAGTATCAACACACACACAAAAAAAAAAAAAAAAAGATTCTGTACTTGGTTAAAATGATAGATTCCATATTGTTGTTATTGTATTTATTTCTTCTTTTAATTGCATGGTGCACAAAATAATAATAATAAATCAGTGGAAGATCGATATATTTAACTATTGTTGGAATTTGGAAGACCCCATAATATTATTAATTTGATGACATGGACACCAAATATTATTTGGTCCTCGATCGTCATCCATGACACAAACCCTCTGTATAGATAGAAATGTCCATTTTCGCAAATTCATATAAAATATTACACTAACATCCAACACAATTTTGACCTAATGATACGTGACACCTTAAAAAATTAGATAAATAGTAACTCATTTTATTCCAAAATGACGAGACAAATCATTCTGAAATTCAGATAGATACAGTACTATTTATTTGGCTCCAGAAAATGCACACCTTGAAAATTAGTGGTTTCTGAATGCCATTTTGGGCTTGTTTGGTTGTTTTGGAATCTAGGAAGGAATGTAATATTTTTCCTTGTTTTCAAATTTTCATGTTTGTTTTATTCAGGAAAGTAATTATTTTCTTAATTATTAAATTACAATGTTTGTTTAGTTTTAAGAAAGTAAAAGGATTCTCAAAGTCAAAGAAAGTTAAAAAAAATAAGTTCAAGATTCTAGGATTGTGATTATCCACCTAAACATGTTATTCTTTTAACTTTCCTTTGAATTTTAAACTTGTGTATATTTTTTATGTCTAATCTTCACACCATTTTTTTTATCATACTGTAAATTTATTTTTTAATTAACTCATGTTTTGTTTTCAAATTGTTAATTCTTTGATAAAATAAATTAATCATTACAATTAATTTATATTGTCTAATATAAAATCATCTATAAATTAATTTTGATTTTTTAATATTAAAATTATCATATTATTAAAAAATCAAAATTCTTTATTTGAAAATATTAACAGATAATTTATTTATTAATCAAATGATATAATTTAAAAGAACTTACATTAACTTCAGAAATTCTTTAAAAAAATAATCTAATTTAATTTAAATTGCGATATGAATCATAATGATATGTCTAATGGCTAGCAAACAAACAATGATCTTTTTACATTATTAATTAACAAAATATTTGATTTCGCCACATAAAACTAGACTATTTATCAAAATAATTATTTTTTTTGTAGTTAGATTTTGAGCGGATTGCTTCAAGAATTTGAATTAAATTTTAAAATGGACATGTTGGATGTTTTTAGGCGATAAAAAATAAAAATAAAAAAATCTCAGTTTCAAGCATATTTTCCGAACATGTAAGGCAAATATAGGAAAGTATTTAGATTCTTCATAATCATACTATGAGGAATTATAAAGTAAAGTAAAATATTAATTTTTCTCGGAATTAAAATCTCAGAAATGTTAACTTTACTTTCCTCAACTTTCCAAGCAACCAAACAGACAGAAGGGTTTTCAACCTCTCTTCCTCTGGGGATTGAACGTGAAGTTCCTCTTCCGCTTGCTTCACATATTTTCAAGATAATTCGTGAGTTAAGAAGTGTTCTAGTTTTGAACTACATCACCACCAATTTACCTTATATGTATAGATTGTTTATGAGTTAAAGTTTCCTAGAATGATCGATTAAGCTAAATAATCGTTAATTAAACTTTTTAATCTTGCTTTGATTGAAGGGGGAAAATTTTGGAAAAAATCGTTCAATCATTGAGGATTCTCTTATTCCTAGACTAAAAAATTTAGCTAGTAAGACTTTTACCTGTTTATTAAAATTTCCTACAAAAACTAATGTCGCAATGGGAAACTAATCACAAAAAATTTTCACTAGTGTACCGTGCCAGCCTCAGCTAAATTAAAACACCCGATGACAATTTGTTTTTCCCATTACAATGAAAAATATGTTAATCAACGATTCGAAGGTTACATTATTCATAAAAACTTACGCCCTAGATTTGTTGATACAAAGATGCAAAATAATCTGAGATAAAACTATATGTGTGTGTGTGTGTGTGTTTCAACTAGAGGACCTATTTTACACCTACCTAATTCCAAATACCTCAGCCTATTTCATTTACAGATATAATGCACCGTCACCCTTGACATAAACAAAATAAACCTTTCTGTGAAATCTACCTGAAAGCTGTAACTGAATAAGAATAATGGGACCTTTTTTTTTCTTTTTTTTTGGCTAAGATCAAGTGTAAATGGTCGGACGATATTGTTCACCCCTTCAGAATCATCATACATGCATATGTAATCTCAACCATTCGTGCTTTACTACCTCACTCAAATATTGTAAAAAAAAAATTTTAAAAAAAACAAAGAAAGGAAAAAATGAAAGATAAATACTAGAAAATTCAGAAGATTCCGTTTGCATGGCTAGAGGCAGCACCAATGAAACAACACCAGCCAAGGGTGGTTGTAATACTCTTTTCGATGCCCTAGAATCACAGGAGATTGTGCCGTGCCCCCTTTGTTTTACACATCAACCGACAACAGCTTGAACTATTATTCTCTTCTAAAGCAATTATCTTATTTTGAAATTTTAATTTAAGTTCAAATTATATTAAAAGTGAACATCTGAAATGTATTTTAGAACAAAAAGAATATTATTCATTTCGTACCTCAAAACAAAATATGCTAATCTTAATATGGTTTTTTTTTTCATCCTTTTTTTGGTATGATAATTAGTTGATGGTCACCATCCGATTTCTTACTCTACATTTTAGAAATATTAATAATAAAATTGCAAGATGGACATTGATAGCACGATTATCCCTCCTTGTTTAATTAAAAAGTTTTCTTTTTCAATCAATTTTGGTACATGCAAGCTTTGGAATAAATTAGAGATAAAATCTTGATGTGGGGAAAGAATGGATATAGAGAAAATTAGGAGTGAAGCGTTCATATGGAAGAAAGAAAAAGTGGCATTAAGCGAAAATGTAATTAAGAAAGAAAAAAAAGTTACTAAAACAAAGCGAAATTATACTTGGATGGAAGCTAAATCAAGGTGAGAGGCTTACAGGAAATTAGAGGAGAGCACATGATCGATCGGACGGAGTATTAATGACGAATGAGGTCCTGAGAAGTAAGATAGAAGCTTGAAATTCGATTAGAAAGTTAGAAAAT